TATATAGCGGCTCGGGTGGTAGAGATTTGTCAGGTATTCTATACCAAATTAAAAATAATTCCTCTAATCAAATTCTCTAATCAAGTTAATTCTTCTAATCAAATTTAATATACCGTTTTCGAATATCTTGTTTTTATTTTTTAAATAAAATTTGCGATGGATTGCAACCAATTCATGAAATATCATTTATTTTATATTTTTTATTTTCACAACCGTTTCTCTAAAATTTAGATTTTTTAAATAATTAATATAACTTTTTATTTTGTAACATAATATATATTTTTTTTAATTAATTTCATTAGATCTCTATTTTTTAGATTAAACTTTATAGTTGGCTTAATTGTTGGTCATTTTTGTATTACAAAATGTACTACGCTTTCGACTATTTCTGTTGATTCTACTGTAGGACATCCATTGACGACTACAAAGTGATTTAATAATATATTTAGAATTTATTTTTTATTTTATTTTATTTTTATTGTCAAACAAAAAATACAAAAAGAGTGCACCTTGACCACGGTCATCTGACGTTAACGATCTCTGTTTAGAATTTATTTCACATTCATAGCGATGAATTTAGATGATACTGTTTTTTGTTCTAGTAATTACGATGATTAGTTAATTCTGTTTGAATTTTAAATTGCGTTATATTGTTTTAACATTGAGAATGACCCGATTGGAGTCGAAACATATGTTTTAATAACTTTCTGTTTGTTTTTTAATAATATAGCATCAAGAACCTTACTTGGCTCATAGCCCTATTCTCATTATTTTAAAAAGAATTATTACTTATCATAATCCAATCATAAAATGTGTCTATATATATTCAATGCACGTACACAGGCAAGCATATTTGTATTTATATTTATATTTTTTATGGATATGCAGGTAACAAAAGAACCAATTCACAAAGCAAAAACCAGGTACTACAAAGAATGAATTTGGCATTAGCTAAGAATTGTAATGCTTCCTTAAATGAGAAGATTGGTGCGTCGGCTGGGAATAATTGGAGAAATGGGAAACCAGTTCGAGTTGTACGCAATTATAAATTAGGGAAATTTAGTAAATATGCACCGAAGGAAGGTAACAGGTACATCGAACGCATTATTTACTCCTATAGATCTGTAGTATATATCACTCGTTAACGATCCTTCTATAACAATTTTTGATTCTCTCACAGATACGATGGTTTATATAAAGTAGTGAAATATTATCCTGACACAAGTAACGGTTTTCTCATATGGAAGTATGTATTAAGAAGAGACGATCCTACTCCCGCACCGTGGACTAAAGAAGGAAAAAAGAGAATAGAATTTCTTGGTCTAAAGATGTTGTATCCTGATGGATATCTGAAGCAAGAAAATAACACGAAGAAAAAAATCTCGGCTAAGAAACGATCCATCAATGGCAATGATGAAGAAGGCAGTGTGCCTATTAAGAAATCTAAAAAGTCTAAGTTAGTTTTCGATTTGGAGGATAAATTGAAAAATTTAATAGAAAATGATAAAGTAAATGCTAAATTATGGGATGAATGTAGAGCAACGTTGATCAATGGGAAGCCTGCCTTCTTGGATTGTGTTTCAGAGAGGTAATATACTTTATATAAAGTATTAAATATTTTTTTAAGTGATCTCTCACAGTAATCAACCTGACACTTGATACAATAAAATTTTATATTTTGCAGGTTTAAATGCGCTTGCTGTCTTGGGATACTTTACAATCCTGTAACAACACCTTGTAAACATAACATTTGCTTAAAATGCTTAAAACGGAGTTTTGCTTCCGAGATTTATTTCTGTCCTGTATGTCGATACTCTCTAGGTAATACTTATGATATGAAGGTCAATGAGATATTATCGTCTGCATTATTATTAATTTATCCTGGTTACCAAGGTGAACGATAATATCGTCTTCATTAAATTATTGATATAACTTGCTCATTTTATGTTATTTGTTCGGATCATAGAGTTAAATTTTCTTTCATCTTATTTTAAATCAAATTTAATGTTATCTCATTTATTTGAATTCTAAATATCGAAGTCGTGATATATTTAGATCTTGAATTGGTTTATAATAATTTTGGAGTCTACATACTTTAAATATTTATACTCTAAAATTATTCTCAATTTATCTGGTAGTGTACTCGGCGCTAAGCATGGCGCGAGACACTGATGTACCACCTTTATGCGAGCCGGTCTCATATTCTTTATCTAAACAAAATGAGAATCTTAATTCCTTGATATATATAAAAAAAATATAATAAATTCGGCTATGGGAATTAGCGCTGTATTAAAAGCGCGATAAATTTCAAATATTAAATTTTGTCTTACATATTTAATTATTATGACTTGCGTTAACATATATTGTTGTGGCTGTATGCTCTCCATTATTTATATTTTGTACTTGTTAGCCACCTTCAAACATTTTAAATTTATTTATTACTTTGTACAAATTAATAATTAAATATATATTCGTAGCCGAATTTATTATAATATATTTTTTTATATTCCTTATTGTTTTCAACGTAATTTTGATACTATTTTTATGATGAACAAAATTGACAATTTTATCAGTGTGGAAATTATATTTTTATATATATATTTATAATATACCTAGATTATGATAAATCACAAAAAAAAATATAGAAATTATAAAAATTTATAAATTACAAAAAAACATGTAATTTACAAAAACTACAATGTATCTTTTTACAGAGCAATTGATAAAATGTTATTAATTTTAAGCTTGATTTAAAATCAAGATTTTAAATGCTATAGGACATAAATTTTTTATTTGTATGAAAATCGAATAAATAATTTAGTCAAATGTTTTATATAAGAGCAAGTATTTACATCAGTATTGTAAGACTTTTATGTTACGTAATTCTGTTAAGCTGAGGGCGTCGAGTAGCTTGCTATTTGATACTCGAGATCTATCCAGGTTAATTTCACCTGCGCCCACATGATTTTTCGCGGATTTTTTAAGGAGCCGAAAATGGCTCCATTTGGTGATTAAGACATCTTCAATCACCAGTGCCGTTCGGCGTTAACTCCGATTTGGATCGTAGTGCCATTGAATGGATAAAATAATATTAAATTAATAGGATTATTTTAGCTATAAATCTATTTAAATATTTAGTACTTTTTATGTGTTAATTTGTAGATTAATACACTCAATCAAAGAAAAAACGATGCAGCAGAAAAATTTACAAAACTTCAAATGCTCGTAACTCGGTAAGTAATTATGATACAGTGTTTAAAAAACGAAAATAAAGTTTGAAGTCTACTTTGAGAAACTTCTAATGCTGATTGAGGCATCAATAATTTTCCAATGGCCGATGAAGACATGTAAAAATAACAAGTAGAACCTCCTGTTTCCAAAGTTGCATGGAGTAAAGGAGTTGACAGAGCTTAAGATATTTCTTCGGCTACAACTTTTCGCCAAGCTATGACAATTTGGGGAAAAAAAAAAAAAGTTTTTTATATGAAATAATGATGAATTGTGAATTGTAATGCCGCTATTATCAGCTCAAACCATTGAGCAAAAGCGCACTTTGAAGAGGAAATTTTGAAATTTCGTGTTTTTTTAGCTGCCCCCATTAAGCTGTGTCAATTGCTTTACTCCATGCAACTCCAGAAATAGGAGGTCTACTTGATTTTGCAGGTCCATTGGAAAATTATTAATGCCACTCAATCGGCATTAGAAGTTTCTCAAAATACAGACCTAGCTTAATTTTCGGTTTTTTAACACCTCTGTATCATAATTATTTATTGAGTTATGAGCATTTGAAGTTTCATAAATTTGTCCAACTTTTCTGCTGTTTCTTTGATTGAGTGTAATTTATATAATTTTGTATTAGAGGAAGTGCATCCAATATCGGACAGTGTCCTATATCGAATGATGTCAATATCTTTTGTCTTTATGGAATATAAGTCTCGGTTCACAACTTTGCTTTAAAAGACCTTAAGCCGAAAGAGGTTAACCCCGGATCTACAATAGATGTTTTAAGCCTGAAACTGTAAGAAATTGACCGATTACAGTCGAATGTAAGGAGAATAATTAATTGTGATTAATTGTTCGTCCATTTCTTAAGGCTTAAAAATCTTATTGTAGATTCGGACTAAAGCGGTATCTACAATAAGATTTTAGGATGTAAAACTTAAACTTTAAGTTATAGAAATTGATTAATCATAGCCAATTTGTCTCCTCACATTCGATTGTGATTAGCCAATTTCTTAGACCCAGACCAATATACTAATAATAAGTTGGTACAACATGCTTTAAAATGATTAATTATAATACCTGTATCAAGTGCACGATGTAAACTAGGCCATTACTGATTCTCATTTTCGATTCTTTCCAATTTTGAGAAAACCTTAGGTCCGATACTGGGTGCACTTCCTCTCTATGTATGTTTCGAAAAAAGCGATTATCAAGTTGGCAGGATCACTTCAAAATAAAATAAAAAAAGAAGATTAAGATCAGAAATTAATAAGATGGAATTAATACAAAATTACCTTTAACAATACAAATTAATACAAAATATATTCATAAATATATAATGATACAAAAAAAGTACTAAATATATTCAAACAAATTTGAATTGATTTTACTGATAAATAGAATTGGCTTAAGAGAGGTTATCATGTAGAAAGGTTTGGTATATTTTACTCGAAAAATATTATATAAAAATTAAACTTTTATAACATAAGTACATGATAAGTAATGAAGGTACACAATATTATATGTGCATATATTGTAAAACTGCAGACTGATCAATGTCACTTGGCATATCTAATAATACAGGCCTTCAAAAAACTTTTTTTTACTCAGAAACGACAGTATGTAATCAATAAATATAATCAATATTTAGCGAATAGTGCAACGTTGGCGTATACATTGGCCATATCATTTGGAGGTGCCTTAAGGCTGGTGAACATACTCTCCTGCAATATATCTTTTTTTTTTTATTTTACTGTGCTGATCTATATATAATTATAGGTCATTTTTGTAAATTTTTTCATGTCGAATTCGAATTCGTTTATGAGAAATTTTAATCTAAAAATGCCTAAAATAGGTCTTTTTAGCACTTTTAGTTTAAAATATCTCGGAAATCTGACATGATGGAGCAATTTGAGCACTGATTTTTGTGATGGATTTGGTTTTTGCATGCCAAAAACTTTCGGGATTATATACTGTCGTTTCTGGGTTAAAATTCATATCTGCTTGTGTAATTAATAGAAGTGTCACATTCTATATATTATCTTACTACATGTTATGATTAGTTTCTTTTTTATTCTTACCGGAGTTTTATAATGAGTCGGGAGTCGATTATCGGAAGTAAATAGTTTTTACCAATCTCAATCTTATTAATGAATTATTGACTACCTTTATATGACATCTTTAATCAAGTTTAATAACATCCGCAATTATGAAACTGGCCAATCACAATCATTCCATTCTTCACAGGAATAGCTATGATTGATCAGTTTTATAAACTACAGATGTTATTAAACCCGATTAAGGATGTCATGTAAACAAAGTCATTGTTATGAGTACATATATATCATATATCTTATTTTAAGCGTTTTTATCAAGCGATGGTACCACTTCGCTGATCCACTTCAGGTAATCGCTGTTTCCATTTTGTATCTAAAATATAAATGTTTAAATAGTTTGTATCTTTAATCATACAATTTATGTGCCTTGTATTCATCCAATTATATCATTCATTATATCAAACTATTGTTGTTTTGTCTCTATTTTTTATTTCTCCTCCTCGAGTGTATAAAAGTATTACGAAATTATTCTAACAAAGTAAGATACGCAAATTAACTTACGGGCAAAGAGATTACTTCACAAATTGTATACGGATGATTTTCTCTGAAAAAGATCAAGTTATAAACATTGACATATTTTTAAAATAGACATATTAGTCATGTCTTTAACTCACTTGACATATTTTGTTAGAGCATCTACTTTCTCCGTCCTAGTTTTTATCATCTATAGTTTATGCGTAGACAGATGGTCAATAATAATTTTATATTTGCATAATGTATACTGAATGTATACAAAGTTTGATAAATCTTTCTTACCAGCAAAAGTTCAGATTCTTCTTGTATCTTTCCTTCCCATTCGTATCTGTAAAGGCAATACTTATTCTTTAATCAAAAGTCTTTGACAGACTGAAAGTTTTCCCTAAGACTATTGGGGAAACAATTTTTCAGTCTGTCTAAACTAGGATATTTCAAGATTAAATAAAATTTTTACGTTAAAGTTTGTGCAAGTCTTTTTCATGTGCATAATACACAAGCAATGTAAAACATATAAATGATTATATAAATTGGATAATACAATACAGAAAGAAATAATTAAGTTATATAATTTTATGTTAATATATTTAATTTTAGTATTGATAAAATAAAAATATATAAGCGAGATGGAAGCTTTTAGTACAATCTATGATGCAATAACAAAGAATGCAGACTTTAATGATTTATACCGTATTTATAATCATTTGAACTACGCGCCAAGTTGGATTTCCAAACTTATAAACGCAATCAAACTACTATAGTAATATAAAATTAAATTGATAAGCAATTTAATAATTTGATGCTCAATTTGACATTTTATTAGAAAGATGTTTATGT